GGGGAGGGAGAGAGAATCAGAAATCATTATTTATTAAACGCTCTGGCACAAGTCCCCTAAGAACAGTTATTGCCAAAAATTGAACTGTGAATGAACAGTGCGTATGATTAATAGTTGAGATAAGAATATAAAAAGAAATAAGATGAAAAGAAATAAAATATAAATATGAAATAATGTGAATAGAGAAAATGAAGAGAGGGAGAGGAAAGGGGGGAGGGAGAGAGAGAATCAGAATCATTATTTATTAAACGCTCTGGCACAAGTCCCCTAAGAACAGTTATTGCCAAAAATTGAACTGTGAATGAACAGTGCGTATGATTAATAGTTGAGATAAGAATATGAAAAGAAATAAAAGATAAATATGAAATAATGTGACCAGAGAAACTGAAGAGAGGGAGAGAGAGAATATGACATTTTATTGACGTAGATCGAATGAATATTCTGCTCAGCGTTCGATTACTTTTTCCTCCGATACGACGGAGGTGTCGTGTCCGTGTATCATTAGGATGGAATAATTACGTAACGCCAGCGGGGACTGTATAATCATTGACGCGCGTGCTGCGTAGCTATAAATCAGGCGGCAAATTTTGTAATATGCGCACGCCGGCGGATTACGTTTTTCCAGTCGTGCAAATGAATTGCCTCTGCGTTCCCGCGTCCGTCAAGACCGGCGCGTAACGTGTTAATCATTTGCGACACATGGATGCAATTCGCGTTCTGTGTAAACTCGCGTTCGCGTCGGCGATGTCTATTACGGCGCTGTTTACACCCGGTATCGCGCTCGCGTTGCGAACGGAAGAACTGTGAATGATGAATGGAAGATCTATCGTGTTGATTTATGCGAACGCACCCAATAATACTGTAATATTTTCGCAGCCACGCGCACGCATTCGCAAAGCTTTAAATTGCAATCCGATTGAAGTTAAATACAAGGCTGGAAATAAAGATGTCGGTAAAATAAACTTCCAGCCTGTAAATGGAAAGAATTGAACCAATGAGAACAGAAAGGAGACAAACCGTGGCATTTTGACTTAAGAATGGATCCTGATTTCGTATTAGTGGGCTAAAAAAAACTTTTGAAATTAATAAAATGTTGTTGGTAATGTTTTTGTTTACCAGTAATTAAATCAATAATCTATCCTTTGTTTCGACATAACTGGCTATATTTGATTTGTTACAATAACAACGTTTCGACTGCAGATTGCAGTCCTCTTCAGGTTAAATTACGAGACAAGCATTTTCGTTACACATTATTGTGGTAGCAATAAGTATTATCTATATATAACAATATAAATTACAAATTAGTTTTTTCTATATAAGTTTGATATCTTTGCAAAGCGAACGCAATGTTTTTGAATCTATTGATTTGGCGTGACCGGTAGGACCTGGCTTTTAGAATATAAATTGAAATGTCATTATAACTCACACGTAATGTTCGTCAATTAATTAAATCGGTTCTTTGAATTCGAGCAACGAGCAGGATCCATGTGTCCGTACATCTGAGAGTATCGAGCTGATCACAGCGCACACATCAGTAGTTTAGATAGTAATGACAAGGAGGAGAGCACGAACGGACGTTAATGTTTATAAAATTCGTATTATTTTATCGTATATCTTAGATAAGATATCTTCATAAAGAAAGAAAACAAGTCTATTAATTTACAGAACGACACAGACAACCTTTCTAAGATCTTTTTATCTCTGATTCTACAGAGCCTCCATACGTATATACACTTCTTTCTCGGACACCAGTCCACGCAGTTTCCTCCACAAATCGCGTTGTCTCTCGCGTTGCGTATCGATAGGTGCGATTGAGCGAGAATCGCGACGCGGCTTATCACTTTTGGCTCTCGTATGTGGATACACCGATGCTGCCAATGCCTCCGCTTGTGCTTGCGTTTCTCTCTCTCTCTCTCTCTCTCTCTCTCTCTCTCTCTCTCTCTCTCTCTCTCTCTCTCTTCTCTTATTATACATTCGCGCAAATACGCCTTCAAGCCGGGCCGAAGGTGGAGAGGCCGGGGACCGTTAGCGACACCTTGTTCACACGGGCGCACGTGCACCGTGTAAATTTCAGAACAGATTAAAGGGAGGAGATGTGGAAACCGAGAGGAGAAGGAGAGAAAGAGAGAGAGAAAATGCGCCGTCCTGGAAAACGGAGCGCTTTATCTCGATAAGACAAACAACTGCCAACGGGGAGTGCGCGACTCGCGATTACGCTCGATTTACGATTATCGGGGACAAAATGCGAAAACGCGCGTAACATCGTTAACACTCGTGTTATCGGGCGCTAGCTCGCATATACTTGCCGGCGATATAATTGCGACACAGGCCGACTGTGCGGCGGAGCGAGTGTCTGTTCGTCTTTCGTTTTATTTTAAATATTCGCGCCTTTTAGCGTCAAAGAAACTCCAGGATTTCTCCCGCGTACACCGAGAACAATTTTCGTCGGATAAGCCAATTAAGTAGCGTGATGGTTAGTTCTTCCCATTGCGTTTCCCGATTAAATTGTGGATAAATTTGATTAAAAAACCGATCACAGTTTTCATCGGATATACAATTTAACCGGACATTTTTCTCAGCGTACGAGCGAGTCTCAAGCTGCGTCGGAAAGCGCCCCTAGTGTATCACTTTAGCATTGTTTACCATTCGGTGAAATGACACTAGGGCCGGTATTCATAGTCAGATCTTATATTCAAGACCGTCTTAAGATCATCTTTAGACACTCCGTAGCCAATGAAATGTTCCATACAGCATTTTTAAATAAATTCAAGACGGTCTTGAACAGAAGATCCAACCATGAATACTGGCCTAGGACACTCAGGTGAAGTTTCCGAACGCAGCCTCAATTATTCTCCCTGTACCCAACATTCGAGTTATTCCGTTCAAGATGAATAGAAACGCATCGAAAGTCTCGATCGTCGAATCTTATGGGGGGGGGGGGGGAAGAAAAACCAAACCATCTCTCAAGTGTCGACTGAATTCTAACGGGGTGAAGTGTCGCGGAAGGAAGCGAAGAAGCTTCTTGTGCCGCGCGGCCGCGGCCGATCCGTGAGAACTCGAGTCGCTCGGTCTCGATTCCGCGATAAAAAATCCTCTTTCCCCCAAGTCCTACCGCTCGGGGAGGGGTTTTCAACGACGTGCGAGGCGAGACATTAAGAATCGCGACGCGGGCGGCGGGGTGTGCGCAGGCACGAAAAAAATCAGCGCGACGAAGGGATTCGGCGGAGAGAGGAGATCGGGAGGGTGCCCCGCGCGCACATGTGGCGGGAAGTTGTCGTTGATATCTTCTTGCCGTGCACGATGACGAACGCTCTGCGGAGGAATGGGTTCAATGAATCTGTCCCTCGTATTTTTGCGCGCCGCGCAGAAGCGCGCCGTTGGACGCGCGGCGCGACATCGCGCCGGCCGATCTTAAAAATAATCGGCGGTTCGTCCGGCGATGCGATAACGCGCCGCCGCGCTAAAACGGGGCGGCTCTCGCGATCATCGATATATCGAATGGACTTGGCGCTAAGCCCGTATCAGACCACGGATTGAGGTTGGATTGCAATTTGGTTAACCAATCGGAGTAAAGTGATCTAAAGTTTAGTGACTTTCACTCCAATTAGTCAAATTTCAGTCTTAGAAATCTCTTTAGGTTGCCAGTAATAACAATAAGTAGGTTTTAGTCGACCTTAACTGGCACGCGTTTAGTAAAAGAACATACGAAGCGACGCTTCGACCTGGGGTTTCGGGCCTTTTCAAGCAAATTCTAAAATGAAAGCCGATAATCGAGATAATCACAAATTCGCCCGATGTACAGAATAAATTAATAAATAATTACAATGTATACGACAGGCTTTAAAAGCCCGTGTCACACTACGGATTGAGATTGAGATTAGATTGAAGTTTGACCAATTAGAGTAAAAGTTACTAAACTTTTGAGATTAGTAAACTTTACTGGTCAAATTCCAATCTAATCCCAATCTCAAACCGTAGTCTGATACGGACTTTATGCGCGACATGCGAGCATAAGTTCTGAAGTGAGAGAGATACACACAGCAGGACGCGTCTGTCTCTCTCTCTAGCGTAGGGCCGTCTTTTGTTGACCGTCAAAAGACAGATGCGCTCCTATTGTGTTTGTCTCTCACTTCAGAGCGCGCGCTGGCACGTCGCGCGTAATGCTCGGTCCATTCTATATGTCGATGCATCAATGCAACAAGAGAAAACACTATTGACACCTTCGACAGTGTCCATCGATTTCAACGCAAACGCCAGTAACTTTACGTTCACCTTCGAGAGTCCTATTGAGCGTTTCATTGAAAAATTTGTTATCCGGCATCTTAATTGTTATAGTTTTTATCAGAAGATTCTCCAAACAAACCTGTCGATTGGTCTGCGGGAAACGCGCCAGGAATGATGGAGACGGTTCGCGATAGAAAATGACTTACAATTAGACGTCGTCCCGTAATCAATGCGCATTTTATTTTTAAAATAACCAGACAACACAAGCGCGCGCTTCGCGCGCGCCATTTGCTCTCTTTAAAAATTCGCATGGCTTAACAGCTGCAAATAACACAACTGAAACATGTATCGTATCGCGAGACAGTCAATGAGCATCTCGGAAAAGCGACAACAATACTTCGAGACTTTCGACTATCGACTTAACGCGCCTCCTTTTATACAGGAAACAATAAACTTTGTCGTTTCGACGTTAATCCGAAAAATTTGTTTCATCGTTTACAACTTTTCTCCGAAATTAATCCCTTGACGCGAGTCAAGCCTTTCGATTTTGAAGCCGAAGAATTAAATCGAACTCCCTTTTATATTATTTATGAGACGACACGGTAGCTTCGCAGAGAGAACAAATCGCTTTAATTTATTTATTCGACTTGGAATTCGAACGCGACTTAATTTCAGCTCGCTCGTTCATATCGGGAAAAGATTCGTCGGTCCGTCGCGACTCGGCTGTCTCCTTATAAATTCCGCGCGAGGGGAAGATGGAGAGGAGATTTGTTTACCTTGCGCTGCGTCGAGAAAGGGACTCCCGGCGACCGGCGCGAGGATCGTCGCGATCGCTGTTATCGCCAGCATCATCGAGCAGCGCATATTCGACGCGTGCACCGGGCGAAACATCCTTCTTTGGAATCCCCGCGTTAACGACACGCGCGCGCGTTCACCTCATTTCACGACCGTGCGCGCACGTGTTTCACCGACGAAGAAAGAGGGGGGGGGGGGTGGCAAAATACAAAACGGAGAAAAGTCGCAGAGAGAAGAAAAGCAGGAGAAAGAGGGGAGAGGGGGAGGGGGAGGAGAGGGAAAAGAAGAGAAGATGTCGGGCGGCCTCTTCGGGTACGGGGGAGTCACATGTCGGGGCGGAATGCGCGTGACGACTCGCACGGGAACGTGATGTGCACTCGAACGCAGCTCGCGAGCGACTGAGCTTTTCGTCGCACTTTACGAGAGCCACGCTGCGACGCGAGTCGAGCTTTTTACCACGGGCGAGTGGGTGAGAGGAAGAAACGAGGAGTAGTGCCCCCCGAGTGCCGGGGCCGGAGGGGGACCCGGGACCCGGGGCGACGGGACGGCGGGGCGGGGCGGCGGGTGAGAGAGGAATTGCGTGTGTGGGTGGGAAGAGACGCGTGGCGCGCACGGCTGTCATGCGGTGCGACCCGCTATTGTGACATCTTCGACCGTATACCCACACGGTGTTGCCCCGCCGTATTTTTTTCTTCTTTCTCCCTTCTCCTCCCCCCCCCCCACCATTCCTCCCGCTTCCCTCGCCGTCGCCTCTTCGCCGCGCGGCGAGCTCTCGTGGGTTCTTTGTTACGCGCGCAAGTAGCGAAATCCGGTGATGCGAGAAAGAAGAAGAAGAAGAGAGAGAGAGAGAAAGAGAGAGAGAGAGGGAGAGAGAAAGCGTAATGGACCACTTGACCGTGCGTTCGTTCTCCGGCTGCGGTATCTCTTCTCCGCCGAGTACTTATCCGTCTCGAGCCCGCAGGTCGGAGACGAAACTCGGTCCGCGCCCATAAATCTAATGTCGCGGCCACGAGCGGTACCGCATTCCGAGAAACGGGGGAGCCGATAACCCCCGGGGACACGGTAACTTCCGCTGATAACGCGCCGATACGGCGCCGCGAGTAAAATCGAAGCCTGCAGCGATATAAACCGACGCGCGCGAGTTGGCGCGACGTACGACACACGTCCCGTACAAATAATCCTCCGTGCTCGGACGGGCATTTCGTCCGCGCCGCTCGCCCCGAACGGGCACAAATAGACACACGAGCGTGATAAGACTAGACCTGGCATTATTCACGATCGTATCTAGGAACAGGATTATCAGTGCGTTAGGAAAGTCCGCGTCGCGCGGACTCTACTTGCGGCGAACGGCTCAATTAAATGTCGGCGGTTCCGCCCGAGGGGGGTGCACGCGGGCATTTTTCTGCGCGCCTCGTGATTTATCAAGCGACCGTCCATTTTTCACCGGTGCCCTCGCCGCGGCCAACGGGTGTCCAAAAACACGGCTCGCCGTCGTCCCCGGATATTTGATTGACTGATCGGAGCGGATTCTCGGAGCGCTCGTAATTTATTAATTTATTCCGCCGATAAATCGCCTTCAATCCGCACGTGGGTAGCGAACGACCGGTCCTCGGCGTCTTCCTCTCCCTCGCTCCCCTTTTAATCTCGTCTCTCTCTCCTTCTCTCTCGCCCCTCTCCCCCCCTCTTTTTCTCCGTTCCTGCGCCGCGTCCCTTTAAATGGGAGGGAGGGGGGGGGGCTGTTATTCCACCACACCGACATAAATAACAGCTGCGCGGTGTGTCATTTGCGTGCGTTGCACAATTGGCTGGTATTATGCAAAAATGAGTTAACCCGCTAATTTGAAGTAAATTAAATTGAAAATGCGGAGTTTTGCATTCCGCTGACCCAGCTACGCAAGTACCACTTTTTTAATTTCGCCGATCAACATGTCCCTACCTGCCCGAGCGATTCTCGCGATAGGAATGGATTTTTTTTCCCCTTTCCTTTCATTTTTCTCGTAGCGAGAGACTTATGCTCGCGCACCGAATGTTGTTGGCACCGTGGGGGGGGGGGGGGATGTCCGAACCATATTTTTCCCCGGCCGTCCGTCATCCGTCACGGGATTCCGAGACGATAGCATGAGTGCAGGCCTCGGAGTCTCTTGTTCCCGACATCTAGCAGTCACGTGAGGCGAAGGCGCGACCGGTTACGCGATCGCAGCTCTCCCGAGACACGTCCGCTATGTTAATCGCGCGCATGATCGCATAAATATTCAAACGTCTGCTGGACCGCGGGCTCGGAACGGACCTCCGTCGCGCTACCGCTACGTTGTCCGAGTATCCACACTTCTGTCGCGCATAGATAATTACCAGCGACAAGTAACGACGCGCGGATCAGTCATCTCGCTCGCGGCGATCGGCGATTGGTACGCGTAAGAATGCAGCAGTGAACTCTATATATACTGGAATGAGTGATCTATTGTTCTGGCTGTTGTCCAGAGAGCACTGAGAGAAAAAAATAGTTGCAGTTACCACAATCTCACTATAATTTATAGTCATTTTTAGACCCAGCCATATTTTTATAATTCTTCCAACTGCGTAAGTTATGGTTGACCTAACAATATATTATAGTTCTCATAGACACAATATTGGTCCATGCAACTTATGATATGGTTGTCATAAACCAAAACGAGCTTTTAATTTGGTTAGGTATACTATAAATATTGCAATAACAACCACAAATAAAATTTCGAATAACTATGTAATAGTATTATGTAATAGTACTATGTAATAGTAATTTCATTATATTCATTGGTTACATCACTTTGCACTCATAAAGAATAGTACAAGATAGCATCTTTCAAAGAAAAGATAAGCAATCTTATACGAATGCGTAAACTTATCCGTATTTATAACACCCTAAGCGGTTTTTTACTTACGAGAGAGTCTTGTACCGCGCGTCCCTCTAGTGAAGACATTCCGAACCACTTCACTTTTGTTGACCATGCGAATAGTAAAGTGGATGATAGAAAGTATAGTAAAATTTACTATTATTGTACTTGCACCTACTATATAAAACTAGTTAATTTAGTTACTATTCACCATCTTAATATTTTACCAGAATAATGGTTAAAAGCTTCATAAATAATAGTAAAATTTTTATGCTGGTTGGCATCACTATGACTATGTGGTTGTTATTACTAATATTATAGTGATAATTACTATAAAAATGATATTCCTGACTATAATTATTTTACTATGCAATTATAGTCGCAAATACTACGCACTTTTCTCTCAGTGAGAGGTGCGTTTGGGTGAATCCTTGCCTCCTTCTAGTACTACGAGGGTGAGTCAAAAATTATTTGCACTTTTCGTTCTACAATTTATTTACACAGAAATAGGGGTTCAATGTATACATCAT